GCTTGGAAAAATGGCATGACTTTGTTTCTTCGAAATGTCAGCAAATTCAAATTGACCTATTCGATTTTTTTTTGATGAAACAATTTCTAACGATTAATCGTTCACATGGGTTCACTTGAAAAGTATTGACACTTGAGTTAATTTTGAAATTGATCAAAAAATGAAGATGGTCAACGTTGTTTCCGCAAAATAGTGATTAGAAAAATCTCAAGTGAATTGAATATCACATCCTACCATAGTCACACATCCGAAATCTATGAGTGCTATGAGAACTATCGTCGATTGGCTACCAAAAGAAAGCACCATAATATTTTGATGCATCTGTGTGACCACCAAATCATAATAAACATTAAGCATTCACCAAAGGAACAATGTGATAACGGCGACAGCAGAGATGAATAAATTCATACGGAGTTGTGAATGAATATACTTCATTTATAGGCTCTATCCGGAATAACGTTACCAAGGAGTGAGTCGTTAGCACAAAATGTGAAGTATAGCTTTCAGGTGGACGAGAAAGCCACAAATACATTACGATCTCTTTATCAGGTAGTTTGATTTCAACCGTAATCAATCATTCGCTTTTCAGATTATCCTCTGCCTAGCTACTTAGATCTCTGACTTTATAATGGATCTAGCTTCGAGATCCATTCAAACTCGATGCCTTTGTTTTTTTGTATTAATGAGATCCGCATTTCACTTGTTTTGTCGCTGTTTAATTATTCGCATAAGAACCAACAAACAACGTTGTATCAAAAGAAAGCATCATAATATTATGATGCATCTGTGTAACCGTCAAATCATAATAAACTTTTTTTTTGATCTTGTAATTTCGATCTTGCTGCAGTTCATCGACGCATGTCCTGTCTGCCAGACAGTGCCAGCGGCGATGCTTGCCGGCGAATGGCAATTNTGCAGTTCATCGACGCATGTCCTGTCTGCCAGACAGTGCCAGCGGCGATGCTTGCCGGCGAATGGCAATTGGTGATGGCGAACCGAAATTTTTTGATGACCGTCATTCCGGATCTAAGTGAAACAATCGATCGCATCGCTGCCGGATTACCAATTACAGTCTCGAAATCGTTCAGTTCAATTTTCGCGTCTAATCCTGACTTGCAATGTGCACAGTTTACAAGTAGGAACAAAAATGAACTTTTTGCTTTTGCTTTTCCATGTTTCTTTACCATTTCAGCACGACTTCTGGTTTCATACTCCAAGTCCAGAATTTTTATCCGTAAGCATTTGATACATACCTGAAAAATGCTTGGGCTCAGACCAAATCTATCAAAGTAGCTGTAATTCGCAGCACTGCTGATCTAGAATTAGAACCACATGAGTCCAGTGAGGACCACCACATCATTGAGCTATTCAGAGAGGGAATTTTAATTGGACTCATAATGCATTAATTTCTGTTGAAGTACTGTTTCAGTGTAGTGCGCTCACAATAAATTTCTAATGTTACCTTGAAAACTAATTGCAGTAGTGAATCGTGATGGAAGTCCACCATTTCAATTCGAATACTTATCTCGAGGAAAGCGTCGCTCGATAATCGGTCACATTGTCAATGAACAAAACAAATACGTCTTTCAGTTTGCACCAACTTTAGCTGTTGAATGTATTTTATCATTTTATTNAATGAACAAAACAAATACGTCTTTCAGTTTGCACCAACTTTAGCTGTTGAATGTATTTTATCATTTTATTTTTTCACTGTTTTTTGGATTATCCTCTGCCTAACCAATCGGATCTCTGACTTTATAATGGATCTAGTAGCTTCGAGGTCGATTCAAACACGATGCTTTTTCTTCATGTCCTTAACGGTGAAGAACTTTTAGTCGTATATCACTCTCCAAAAAGTATTTCTAGTCTCATTCTCATTGTCAGTAGTCCACTCAGGTTTATCTGCGCGTATTTTTTCGCTCATTGATCACTGTGGCTTTAATTGGAAGCACAAATAACAGTTGGTGCTACTAGAGCTGAATTAAATTAGCATTTAAAGAATTTCCACAATTTCCGTAAAGCATTTATATGGAGCAAAACTTCTCACTCGATTTTCTCGTATGAAAGTCACATTGGAAGAGCGATAGATTTTTGATTATGCTTCACTCTCACGCTTGACTAATAACTGAACAAATGACGCGATAATTGCAGTTTGTCTCACGATGAGCACTGTACTATCATCGAATACAAACGAGCTGGA